CAAAGGGGGCCCTGTCTGAGGCTGTGGCTGGGCAGCAGAGACAGCAGGTGCAAATCCAAGCCATGGATGAGGTGGACATCTTGCAGTACATCCGGGACCACGACACACCTGCCCAGGCTGCCCCCAGCCTCTTCTGACACCTCCAGCCCCACTGGCCACAGGCCTGGCCGGCCTTCCCGTGGAGCGTGTGAATGACAGGGACCGTGCCTTGTCGGGCCAGGACCTGCGCTCCCAAGGGAGGGAGCCGGAAGTCTGGTCACAGCACCCAGTACTGCTTTGGTCCCTTTTCTCCAGGGCCATTGGGTCAAAGTGGAACCTCTGTAGGGGGCAGAGAGCAGAGGTCACCATGGGAATTGGAGCCCACATTGTGTCTGTCCCCGTGGGTGAGGAAGGGAGAGTAAGAGTTGGGGTTAGATGTTTAAAGCCCAGCCCCAGGACAGAGTGAGATGCGTGGGGCCCTGGGAGGTGGCACGTTGGCAGGGAAACCTCTGTCTACTGGCTCTGCTTGTCCCACCCAGCACGGGAGGGAGGTTCAGCTGGCCTGGTCTTGGGCTGGGAGTCTGCTAGACGTGGCTGCCAGCGACCTGCAGGCTTTTAGCGGGTCTCCCAGGGCAGGGACACTGAGTGGGAGAGCATGGCTGACCTACTCTGAGCCTCCTCTAGTTACCAGCTCTAGGGCAGAGATCAGGCCTAGCCCTGACTCTCTGGGGTGTAGGGGCCCCACTGCGAGGCCCCAGGTCTTTGTCCCTCTCTCTTTCCCAGGAAATACCCAGCCAGCCTGTGGCCTCCTTGGGCCTCTGACCATGGAGCCAACATCTGCCCTCGCAGCTCTCAGTAAAGTGGCTCATAGCATCCCCCAGAGCTTGGTCCAGCCTGGGCTCGGGGTGGGCTGGAGGCCGCCTCCAGAGGGACACAATGCTCTCAGGTGCTGCTTTGAGGCCTTCTCTGTCCTCTGATCTGGGCTTGCTCAGCAGCCTTTCTCCAGGAGCTGAGTGCCAGGGCCTGACAGTGCCTTAGATGTCTCCTAGATCCCTGAGCCCCGCACCAGGTCCAAGCCCCACATGGTGCTCGGGAAATTCTCAGCAAGTGAATGATGTTTATAGAGTGAAGAATGTCAGGGTGTCTTTCTTGGATCTTTCCTATTCAGAGCTCATTTTTAATGAAAGGCAACATCTACTGTTCCTTGGTTCTGTCCCACCTTAAAGAGAGACACTGGCTGGGGTTGTGACCAGGCCCCCAGACCCTTCCCCAGTTAGGGACCAGGTGCCCACCAAGTTGGAGGGTGTCCCCAGATCCTGCCCTGTGCCTGGACCTGCAGGGCCGGGGCCGGGAGCATCGAGTCCGACCTGTCCCCATCCTTCCTCCTGCGCCTGGTCCTGCATAGGCTGTCCCCCACAGCCCACACACACGTGCCTGTGCTTGAGTGACAGGGACCAGGTAGTTCTGGGGCTGAGATCCAGGGTCCTCCCGCTCCTCTCGCCCCAGGCTCAGAGGGCCCTTTCCCCCTTCCCTTTCACCGTAGGCCTTCTCTGCACCCCTCAGTCACACCTGGCCTGGGGCCTGCCCCCCAGCTGACTCCAGCGAAAGGAAGGCCATGGGGTTGGGTCTTCCTTGGAGAAGGGGCTGCTCTCCCTTGGACTCCCCTTCCCATTCTCTGTGGAGCAGCAGGGAGCAGCCCAGTGGGAGACCATGGGGGCTGGTCCCCAGCTGGGGTCATTGGCAGCCCCTGGTGTGCCTCATCCAGGGTCCAGCCTCCCTGGTGCAGATTTGTGCCTCCCGTTGTCCACCACAGCTCTGTGACCTGCTGGCCAGTCGGTGACACCCAGTCGTCCAATAAAGCCTGTGTCCAGACCCATTTCAGCGTTCGTTAGTGACGTTCATTCCTGTGCCCGGGCTTTTGGGGACCATGGGCGAGAGTGGAGGGGATTGTCCTTCCAACAGTAGGCCCAGTGGGTGAGCTGCCTTGGAGGGAGCCCAGGCTCTGCCCCAGCCTGCCAGGCTGCTGCATGATAGAGTCGGGTGTGGGGGGAAAGGAGGGTTCTCATCGCTCTTTCCTGTGGTGCAAACTGAGGCAGGGGCCCGGGCCCGGTGGGGGTCAGCCGAGGCCTGTGTAGAAACAGGACTCCTCCCCCTCTCCAGGCCTCAGAGCCCATCCCAGAGTGGAACTGACGCCGAGGCCTATGCAGCGCTGACATCGGACCGCCCTCCGCAGCTCAGCTGATCGCGCATCTGTAGACTGTCTGGGCCGTCGCGCTCCTGCCAGAGCCCAGGCTCTGCGCTGCTCTGTCCCCAGGACCCAGAGGTTCTGAAGCAGAGGGGTCTGCAGCTGACATCCACTGGAGAACAGGAAACAGACCAGGGGGCTGACAGGGCCAGTCTGAACTGGCATCATGGTCTCGTCCCCAGAGGTTGGGTCTGGCTCTGTGGCTCAGACTGAATTGGCTTCTTGGCTCCCGAGGACAAGCAACTGGGCTGTCCCGAGGAGGGCCACTCAGACCGGCGACCTGCAGCAGAGCTGCCTGAGGGAAACCGGGAGGCCGATCGGGAACAGCGATGTCTGTTTATCTCGAAGCCTGCTGTGAGCTGTGGACAGGATGTGCCGTCTGGCTGGGCCCGCTGCCCCTTTCCTCCCGAGCATTGTTCTCAGGGAACCGTGAACTTTGGCCCTTCTGATGGGAAGTCCCAGGCTGGGGCCCGTCCCAATGGGGCTCATACTGTGGGCTCCTCTGGAGAACGCGTTGAGCTCTCGTGTCCCGTGACAGCTCACTGCAGTGTCTGAGATCTGGCTCAGCCCTGTGCTCAGTGGGATGTGACAGCAAGGCCCAGCCACTCTTTAAGACCCGGTGGCCTTCCTGCCCCACCAGCCCTGGGCGTGTGTTGACATACTGTGTGCTATGGGTTTAACACCCCACTGTTAGGCTCACCCGAAAGGGCTTGCCCAGCCCTGTAGCTTACCAGCTGCCCATCTGAGCACATCCTGGGGAAGGGGACTGCCACAAGCCACCTCATGTGCCCTGGCTGGTGGCCCTCTGGTGCTGCTGCCTAGAGCAGACCTGGTGCTAATGGTCAGAGCCTCTGCAGCGGCCCAGCCTTAGCGTCCCACTCACTGCAAGCTGATGGAGGCAAACTTCCTCCCGCAGCCACACGGCCGGGCAAGCAGCAGTCAGGCGCTGTGACCTGCAAGGAGCTGGGTTCCAGTGTAAGCCCAGCTGTGTGCCACTCCCTCACCCCACAGTGCCAAGACGTCCTGGACTCACGTGACGGGGCCAGGTGGATAGTGACGTCTCATACATGCCCCTAGGAGTTCAGAACGGTGGACCGGTCACCAGTCCTAGCAGGCCTGTCGGCATCAACTCAGCTCCCTCCGGCCCCAGGCACCGACCCTGATTCCCACGTGAGGCGTCACACCACAACACGCAATCCGACAACGTTTACACACACTCCCCCCACGCCTCGGGGCTCACCTCCAGCTCTTGTGTTCACGGCTCGGCCACTGGTGAGAGCTGAGGGAATTTCATTTCTCAGGTCACGCTCCAGACGAAGTCGCAGCTCCTGCAGGGCGGG